AGCCTCGTGGCTCTGGGCCACCTATGTTCTCCACAACGGCTGAGGAGGAGGAGGAGGAGGATGAGGTGGAGGAGGAGGAGGAGGAGGAGAAGCAGGAGGAGGAGCAGGAGCAGGAGCAGTCGCAGGAGCAGGGGCAGGAAGGGGAGGAGGAGGAGGAGGAGGAGGAGGAGGAGGAGGAGGAGGAATAGGAGGAGGAGGCGCCTTTACAGGAGCCGCTGCACCACCCTGAGAGCACCGCGGACGACCTGGAGGAGAAGCACAGCTCCTCCGAGGACGACGAGTGGGAGTCGCAGGCAGGGGCCGTGCACCGCGCCCCTGTCCTTCGACCAAAACCAAACGACACCACCCCACCTGCGACCCTTCATGTTGCGCTGCGACCCATCGGGGGCCGTGGCGTATACCACGCCAAACGCCCTCGCCAGATGTCCTGGCATGCGCGAAGCCCCGCGGGGCCTCAGGTGGGGTGGTGTCGTTTGTTTTCTGGTCCCTCCCTCTTCGTTGTGATGAGCCAGGGCCGGGGGCACGGCAGAGGCTGAGGCAGCCTCGCAGGGGGATCACACCTAAGCCGTGTGACGAGCACGCGAATTGAGGTCAGGGCAGCACCCTCGGTGGGGCCGCAGCGCGTGCTGTCTTCCGCGCCATTGACCAACAAAGAAAACGTGGAGCTGGCCCGCACTCCTCCCCCGTCCTCCGCCCGCCTTGTTGGCAAGAGCAATGCGGGGTGGCCGTCGTCGTTCCGGGCGTCATCCAGGGGCCCTCGCTGGGCCCAGGGGCCGTCCAGAAACGATCCGGGGACGAGAAACCAGCCCGTCCTCCGTCCGCCATCGCCTCCTCGATCCTCCCTCCTCCTCCTCCTCCTCCACCTCCTCCTCCTCCTCCTCCTCCTCCTCCTCCTTTTGCTCCCCCTCCTCCTTCTCCTCCTCCTCCTCCTCCACCCCCTCCTCTCTCTGCTCCTTTTCCCCTCCTCCTCCTCCCCCTCCTCCTTCCCCCTGCCCTTGCCTCCTGGGCGGGAGGGGGCGGGGGGCTGCGAGAGGGGACCAGAGCGGAGGCCAGAGAGTTCCAGGGACGCCGTATTTAAACAATGATACCGGAGAAAAGCCCCAATCAGGGCTATAGGGCTATAGGGCTATTGAACTATAGGTCTATAGGGCTGTAGGGCTGTAGGGCTATAGGGCTATAGGGCTATTGGGCTATAGGGCAATTTGGCTACAGAGCTAACGCCCGGGCACCCAGGCACCCGGACACCTGGGCACCCCAGGGCACCCGGGCACCCGGGCGTGCGGCGAAAATCGGCGGCAAACCTAACCTAATCGTATGAATCTGCTGGGACCCCTGCAGAGGCAAGCTGTGATTGGGGAATAAAGACATCAGATGTCTGGGTTGCTTGGCGCCGCATATCGAAGAAATCGCCATAACCAGAAAGTTTTCACGCTCCGCGTGGGTTCCTTGGATCCGCGCTGGGCCCCACTGGCGGCGCCTCCGGCGCCGCTCCTGGCGCGCTCCGCGCGCCCAGGAAGGGGCATCCGGCGCAGATCCAAGAAGTCCGCGCGCGGAGCGCCGAAAGTTTGTGTTGTTTGTGTTTTTCTCGTCCGGTAAACGTAGTGTTCACCGCGCAGCTTGCACCCCCATGTATCTCGTTCGGACCGAGGTATAAGATCGAGCTCGGTTCGGGGAGGATGCCGTAATTAGCGTTTTGCGTGCTTGTGCATCCTGGGGGAGGGCACCCGCGAATGTTCCCCCGGTGAGCCGCCGGCGGGCCTCACGTTCTTGGAGGGTGTTCTTCGGTCCTAGGTCCGGCCGTGCCCGACACGTTGCCCTGCATGCTTGCACCACGCAGGGCGCACCTCCAGAGTGCAAGGGCTCACCGTTCGGGGTCCACGCCGGCACGCACTGCTTTCCGAGGCGGGAGTTTGTCCATGACTACCGCCTGAGCTTGGTGGGCCCTGGAAGCGACAGGGCCGTTTTTTACCGGTTCCGTTTTGCCGTTTTTTTGCCGGTTCCGACGCTGTTTTTTTACCGGTTCCGTCGCCGTTCTTTTGCGGGTTCCCGCTCCAGTTCCAATCTTGGAGCCGTTTTTGTTGCAGTTTCCCGTCGCCTTTTTTCCCAACCATCCTGTGGTGTTGGGTCCTCGTTTTGAAGAGAGCGCCCTCTCCCCCTACCCCCCTATGCGCGCCGCCAATGCTTGGCGCGAGGCCATGGTCACCCCGGACGGCGGCTGCCTCTGCTCCTTCGTGGGCGGCGGCCCGCAGAAGGCCTGGTTGCCAGGAGGGGGATCGGAGGAGGAGAAGTCGGGCCTCCTGGGAAGCCCCCGTGGCCACGGTCTGGAGTCGCCTCGAGATGCTGGTCGGAGGGCACCTCGGGAAGGGTCCCGGGAGAAGTGGTATCGTTACCTTTTGTTTTTTCCCAGAGGAGGGGTTGGGGGGAGAAGGGATGAGGAGGAGGAGGAGGAGGAGGAGGAGGAGGAAGAGGAGGAGGAGGAGGTGGAGGAGGGTGGAGGCGGGAGCAGGAGGAGGGCGGAGGGAGGAGGTGGAGAGGGAGGAGGAGGAGGCTGGAGGAGGAGGAGGAGGAGGAAGGAGGAGGAGGTAGAGGAGGGAGGGGGAGCTAGGAGGAGGTCGGAGCAGGGTTGGAGGAGGAGGAGGCAGGAGGTGGAGGGGAGGAAGAGGTGGAGGAGCAGGAGGAGGCGGGGTGGAGGAGAGGTGGGAGGAGGAGGAGGAGGTAAGGAGGAGGTGGAGGAGGAGGAGGAGGAGCCGAGAGAGGGAGGTAGGAGAGGAGGAGGAGGGGGGTGGTGAGGAGGAGGAGGAGGAGGAGCCGGAGGAGTTGGGTGGAGGATGGAGGAGGGGCCGGGCCGTGGAGGAGGAGGAGGAGGAGGAGGAGCCGGAGGAGTTGGGTGGAGGATGGAGGAGGGGCCGGGCCGTGCCCCCCGGGGGTCACCACCAGGGGGTCGCCGGCTCCTCCCGGGGGCCGCTCGAGGCCCTTCCTGGGCCTCCCAGGCGGGGTCCCAGCAGACGGGCTCGGGGGACTGCGCCGATGTCGCCGATGCATCGGCGATGCGGCTCGGTGTGGAGCCCGACGTGTCTCCCCTTCCTCCTCCTCCTCCTCCTGCTCCTCCTCCTCCTCCTCCTCCTGCTCCTCTCCTCCTCCTCCTCCTCCTCCTCCTCCTCCTCCTCCTCCCCCACACCCAGGGACGGCGGAGGAGGCAAGGGCAAGACCGAGGAGAACGCCCCCCCAGCGCACAGGGGGGCCCAGCGGGCGCATCCAGGTTCCCACAGGGCGGTCCGTCAGTGCAGTCGAGGAAAAATAAAAACACATAAACATAAACTTGTGGCGCTGAGCGCGGATTTCTTGGATCCGCGCTGGGCCCCCCCCCCCCACCTGGCGGCGCCTCAGGCGCCGCCCCTGGCGTGCTCCGCGCGCCAGGGTGGAGGGTCCGGAGCGGATCCAAGAAATCCGCGCGGAGCGCCAAATATGTTTACGTGTTTTTTGTTCTTCTTCTAAACACCCTGCTTGCCTCCAGGGTGCCCTGGGTCTCTCGGGTTTCGAGGGTTTTGCGATGGCGAGCGCGACGCCCCCACATCCGAAATCGGTGGATGTCTTGGGGTCTCAGGGTTGGGTTTCTGGTGGAGGGGTTCCTGTGGACTGGCCTCCCACCAGTGGTGCGTAGCCTTCCTTGGCGCTGCCCCCGAGGCAGGGAGACGCGGGGGGAGGAGATCCGGGGCAGCGTTGGCCGGAGGGGGATCTGCTCCGGGTGGGACGCCTCGACCCCGAGGCGCCCACCGATCGCCGACAGGGGCCGGGTGGCCTTCAGTCGGGCCTGTCCATCTGCAGGGGGAATTTTTAGAACATCGCAGACGAAGAGTGTCACCACCCACCAAACCACCCCAACCCAACCCGAAGGCTCAGATTTACACTCGATTTCCAGTGGGGGGGGGTCGGGAAACATAGAAAAAACACATGTGGAACCCTTACCCCCCCCCCAACCCGAAATTCGGGTCTTCGGGTTGGGTTGGGGTGGTCTGGTAGGTAGTCAGAGTGTGGGGACGCAGAGAAGATGTTCGAAATGTGTTTGGAGTACTTGTTTTATTTTTCGTCCAGAGTCCGCCTGTCGGGGGACAATGCCCGACCCAGTGGTGGCCAGCCCCGCCTGGGAAGGTGCGGAGTCGACGTCAGGGGCCTGTCGCCGGTGCCATGGCGAGAGTTGCCCCCTGAGCCCGTTCCCCACCCCCGACCCCGCGTCTCCCCCCCAGGGAGGGGGGGGGAGGAGGAGGGTGGGCAGGAGGGGCGGTGGAGGGGCGATGGAGGTGGGAGACAGGATGGGAGGAGGGAGGCGGACGAGGGGGTGGAGGAGAGCAGGTGAAGGAGGAGGAGGAGGAGGAGTTCGAGGAGGATCAGGACCAGCGTGAACCCAAGGCTCGTCAAGGATGTTGCAATAAACCCTCGCTTCAAGCTCCCTCCTTATAGGCCCCTGCAAGGTTTCATTTTCACTGAAGGAAGTGCCCCGTTGGAAAACAACCAGTTGACCATCCTTAACTGTGCCAGAATGCTATTCTTGGGACTTCAACAGGGGCACAGTTCCTGTCAAATCAAATGACACTATGCGGGCCACTCGCGCGCGTCGGCGGGGCGCGCATGCCGAAATCCTTCTCGCAACCTTCATCGCTGATGCGAGGACACCATCACCTTCATCGGCGTGATCAGCATCGGCGACGTCACTTGCCTTGCCGTCATCGTCCTCGTCCTCACCGTGATCGCTATGATCCTCATCGTGTCTACCGCCCGCCACCGACGTCGCCATGATGCCGCGCCCGCCCAAGTCGCATACTCGCACTGGAAATGCCCGCGTGGCTGCGGCCCGCGAGGCGCGCTGGGGAGTGCCCGGCTGTCAGCGCCACCGCGGCCGCGCCGGTCGCGCCAGTCTCGCTGGCCGCGCTGCGCGCGAGCCTGCGTGTGGCAGCGCGGCCGCAGCGGTGCGCCAGCTGGCGCCAAGCAGGCATCACAATTGCCGCCTCGTGGGTTTTGCAAGCGGGTGGGTGGGAGATGTGCGCGGGCGGTGGACTTGACAGTTCTATGTTTCTGGATTTCCTGCGCCGCACAGATTGCACCGCAGATGTGGCACCCCGTAGACTAACAGAACATGGATTCTCCTTCCTAAAAGAGAACAACTTCTGCCACCCTCCCCCCCCCCCACCCGGGATAAAGACCCCCTGGGGACCCATGCGAAACACATAGGATTCTGACCCAATGTCCATCCTACCCGTGAATTCATATAATCCCAGCCAAACCAGTATCGACCCCCCCCCGCCATCCTTGACAACAAATACTATGCGCGCACCTTCGTTCATCAAACATCATAAGTTGTTAAGATTAAGAATCCTTTGCAAACAATTGGGCGAAGTGCGCGCGCGCGTCGTCGTGCGTGCATGCCGATATCATTCAAAAACCTTTGGTTTCGGAAAGATTTCAAAATTGAGTTTCCAAAACATATACAAAAACATACGGTTTCGCAACCCTGATTCCCACAAAAAGTTCACGCGCGCGCTCTTTCGCAATCCTGAGAAAACCATAGGTTATTGTTTTAAGATTTTTCGAACATGCTACCAAACGGGCTTCGCGCGCGCATGTCGAAATCGTTCGAACGCCCTTGCGCGCGTGCCGTCGCGATAATCATCCTGCAAGCAGTAGGACGAAGTGCCTGCGCGCGCAACGTCGCGAGCGCATGCCCAAATCCTTCAAACAAAAACGTCGGTTTCGGAGGGATTTCAAAACCGAGTGTCCAACAAACATGCAAAACAAACAGGGCTTCGCAACAAGGATTTTCAGCATAAACGTGCGCACGCGCTCTTGCGTCGTCGTCGTCGCCGTCCCTCCTCCCTCGTCGTCGTCGTCGCCGTCGTCGTCCTCTGTCTTTCTTCGTCGTCGTCATCGTCATCCTCTTTGGCGTCGTCGTCGTTTCCGTCGTCGTTGTCGCCGTGGTTGTCCTTCCTCCTCCCTCGTCGTCGTCCGTCGTCCGTCGTCGGCGTCTCGTCGTCGTCCCTCCTATTTTGTCGCCGTCGTCGTCGTCGTCGTCGTCGTCGTCCTCCTCCCCCGTCGTTGTCGTCGTCGGCGTCGCCGTCCTCCCTCCTTCGTCGTCGTTCGCGTCGTCGCCGTCCTCCCTCCTCACTCGTCGTTGTCTTCGTTGTCGCCGTCGTCGTCCTCCCTTTTCCCTCGTCGTCGTCGTCGTCGTCGTCGTGTTCGTTGGCGACGTCGTCGTCGTCGTCGTCGTCGTCGTCGTCGTTGGCGTCGTCGTCGGCGGCGTCGTCGTCGTCGCTGTCGTCGTCGGCGTCGGCGTCGTCGTTGCCGTCGGCGTCGTTGGCGTCGTCGTCGGCGGCGTCGTCGTCGTCGCTGTCGTCGTCGGCGTCGGCGTCGTCGTTGCCGTCGGCGTTGTCATCGTCGTTGTCGTCGTCGTCGGCGTCGGCGTTGTCGTCGTCGTCGTCGGTGTCGTCGTCGTTGTCGTCGTCGTCGTCCTCGTTGGAGACGCCGTTGGTGTCGTCGTAGTCGTTGTCGGCGGCTTCGTCGTCGTCGTCGTTGTCGCTGCCGTCGTCGGCGTCGGTGTCGTTGCCAAGTGCGATTTGGTACCTACCGTCACGGTCTTAAGAGGTCTTACGATCAAGATGCGGGTGGGAGGGTGGGATGTTTGCACGAGCAGTGGAGAGGGCAGTTTCAAGTTGAGCAAGTGATTGACTGCACTACATAGGTTGCGCCACGTGGACTGCACCACATAGAGTGCACAACCTACATTGCACTACGCAGATTGCACCACTCAGGCTGCACCACGTAGCTTGCGCAAAATAGATTGGAACGAATAGTTTGTACCATACCAAATGGCCCAACAGATATCGCGACACGTGCAGTGCACAGCATGTATTCTCCTTTCTAAAAAGAAAACAGACTCTACCCCCCCCCCGGACTTATCAGCTCCCCCTGGGATAGTATGATTTCATGTATATTCTGCACACTCGTCCATCCTAAAAATGAAATCATACCATCCCAGCTAGGCCGGGTTCCCCCCCTGAGGTTCCCTTGTGAAAAAACACTATGCGGTGACATGTACTGTTCTAACATAGCACTTTTTCACGAATCCCTTGCAAAACATGGGACGAAGTGCGGACCCGCGCGTCGTCGCGCGCGCATGCTGAAATCCTTCAAAAACCTTCGGTGCCGGAAGGATGTCGCAATCGAGTTTCCCAAAAAACATACAAAAACATATGGTTTCGCAACACTGATTTGCTAAAAAAGCTTCCGCGCGAGCTCTTGCGAAATCTTAAGAAAACCATAGGTTTTTCAAGATTTTCACAAACTGCTACCAAACGGGCTTGGCGCGCGCGCATGTCGAAATCTATCGAACGCCCTTGCGCGTGTGCCGTCGCGAGAATCCTCTGCAAAAAATGGGACGAAGTGCAGACGCGCGCGTCGTCGCGGGCGTATGCCGAAAACCTTCAAAAACCCATCGGTTTCGGAAGGATTTCAAAATCGTGCGTCCAAAAAACATACAAAAACCCAAGGTTTCGCAACACGGATTTTCAACAAAAGCGTGCGCGCGCGCTCTTGCGTCGTCGTCGTCGTCTTCGTCGTCGTCGCCGTCCTCCCTCCTCCCGCGTCGTTCGTCGTCGCCTACGTCGTCCTCTGTCTTTCTCGTGTTCGTCGTCGTCGTCCTCTTTGGCGTCGTGGTCGTTTCCGTTGTCGTTGTCGCCGTGGTCGTCCTTCCTCCTCCTCCCTCGTCGTCGTCGTCCGTCGTCGGCGTCTCGTCGTCGTCCCTCCTATTTCGTCGCCGTCGTCGTCGTCGTTGTCGTCGTCGTCTTCCTCGTCGTTGTCGTCGGCGTCGCCGTCCTTCCTCCTTCGTCGTCGTTCGCGTCGTCGCCGTCCTCCCTCCTCTCTCGTCGTTGTCGTCGTTGTCGTCGTTGTCGCCGTCGTCGTCCTTCCTCCCTCGTCGTCGCCTTCGTCGTCGGTTGGCGTCGTCGTCGTCGTCTTCGTCGTCGTCGGCGTCGGCGTCGTTGTCGTCGTCGAAGTCGTCGGAGACGTCGTCGGTGTCGTCCTAGTCGTTGTCGTCGGTGTCGTCGTAGTCGGTCTTACGAGGTTTTGCAAACCAAGTTGCGGGTGGGTGGGTTGGATGTTTGCACGAGCAGTGGATAGGACAGCTGCAAGACAGTCAAAGTGGATTCTCCTTTCTGAAAGACTAATAGATTCTACCCCCCCCGGACTTATCGGTTACCCCGCGCGTGCTGTAAATTACATATGATTCTGACCACATGTCCATCCTAAATGTGAATTCATACTATCCCAGCCAAGCCGGGTTCCCCCCCCCTGCGGGTCCCTTGTAAAACACACTATGCGGTGACATTTTTTGTTCTAACATAGCACTTTTTCACGAATCCCTTGCAAGAAATGGGACGAAGTGCACACGCGCGCGTCGTCGCGCGCGCATGCCGAAATCCTTCAAAAACCTTCGGTGCCGGAAGGATTTCGCAATCGAGTTTCCGAAAGGCATACAAAAACACATGGTTTCGCAACACCGATTTGCTAAAACAACTTCCGCGTGAGGTCTTGCGAAATCTTAAGAAAACCATAGGTTTTCCAAGATTTTCACAAAATGCTACCAAATGGGCTTCGCGCGCGCGCATGTCGAAATCTGTCGAACGCCCTTGCGCGTGTGGCGTCGCGAGAATCCTCTGCAAAAAATGGGACGAAGTGCAGCCGCGCGCGTCGTCGCGGGCGTATGCCGAAATCCTTCAAAAACCATCGGTTTCAGAAGGATTTCAAAATCGTGCGTCCAAAAAACCTACAAGAACCCAAGGTTTCGCAACACGGATTTTCAACAAAAGCGTGCGCGCGCGCTCTTGCGTCGTCGTCGTCGTCGTCGTCGTCGTCCCGTCGTCGTCGTCGTCGTCGCCGTCGTCGTCTTCTGTCTTTCCTCGTCGTCGTTGTCGTCGTCTTGGCGTCGTCGTCGTTTCCGTCGTCGTTGTCGCCGTGGTCGTCCTTCCTCCCTCGTTGTCTTCGTCGGCGTCTCGTCGTTGTCCCTCCTATTTCGTCGCCGTCGTCGTCGTCGTCGTCGTCGTCGTCTTCACTCCTCCCTCGTCGTTATCCTCCTCCCTCGTCGTCGTCGTCCGTCGTCGGCGTCTCGTCGTCGTCCTTTCATTTCGTCGCCGTCGTCGTCGTCTTCGTCGTCGTTGTCATCGTCGTCGTCTTCCCTCCTCCCTCGTCGTTGTCGTCGTCGGCGTCGCCGTCCTTCCTCCTTCTTCGTCGTTGGCGTCGTCGCCGTCTTCCCTCCTCCATCGTCGTTGTCGTCGTTGTCGCCGTCGTCGTTTTTTCTCCTCCCTCGTCGTCGTCTCCGTTGGCGACGTCGTCGTCGTCTTCGTCGTCGTCGTCGGCGTCGTCGTCGTGTCGTCGGTGTCGTCGTCGTCGTTGTCGCCGTCGAAAACATTGGAGACGTCGTCGGTGTCGTCGCAGTCGGCGGCGGCGCGTCGTCGTCGATGTCGCTGTCGTCGTCGGCATCGGTGTCGTGGCCAAGTGCCATGTGGTACCTACCGTCACGGTCTTGTCTGAAGAGGTCTTGCGACCAAGTTGCGGGTGGGAGGGTGGGATGTTTGCACGAGCAGTGGAGAGGACAGCTTCAAGACGGTCAAGATTAATTGCACCACGTAGATTGCACCACGTTGATTGCATCACGTCAATTGCACAGCATATATTGCACGGCATAAATTGCACCACTTCGGCTGCACAACAAAGGTTGCACAGCACAGACTGCACCGCGTAGATAGCCATTTCGTAGATTTCACAACATATATTGCACCACGTAGGGTGCCCAACGTATACCGCACCACATATTCCACCACATAGGTTGCACCACATAGCGTGCATACTAAATATTACACCATATATGTTGCACAACATGTACTGCTAGAGGCACATTGTGTGGTGTTCACGCTGGTTAACATTTGTGTGTATATATATACACATACATACCTCCTGTTCGATTGGAAGTCACAGGAATTTCTCCTCGTTTTGTCTTCAGTGTATATCGGCGAATCGTGCCCAACAGCGCCCAACTGGCCCTGAATAGCGTACCATGGCGCCCGGCAGCGTCGAATCGTGCCCAGAATGCGTCCAATCGCGCCCACTGGCGCCACACGAGGGAGATGATTCACGTCCGCTTTGTGTGCTACTCACGCGCTATTGGGCGCCGTTGGGGTGGCCAAGAGCTACCATGAGTTCTCATGGCGCCCAGGTCTTCTCATCCGAAAGATTATGCCGAACAACATCGGTGACCGAAAGCGTGTCCGAAGATGTGACCGAAAGCATAGTGTGACCGTGATTGCATCCGAAATTGAACATCGATTTGGCTCCGAATCGAAGACTCCAGTCACACCTTGGCGCGTTCGGGACAATTCGGGCGCTGGTTTTGGCCACACTCGGGCCACTCCGTTTTGGTTTCTACATCCCCCTGACATTCGGGCGGGGTTGGGACGAGGATAAATCCTCTCCAGAGCATTCCAGAACGCTCTAAGAGCATTCCGGGACGCTCTGAGAAGGCCGCGGCGCGCGATACATATTCCAGATCCGCTGTATCTCAGAGATTCCCGATTTGTCCTCACCCGAAGTTGCCCTCGTCCTGGCTTCGTCTGGGAAAAAGAGGAGGCCGCGTTAGAGTTTATTTATAATTCTTGCGTGGCCCCTGCCATGAAGGCGGCCGTCATCGAGGGCTACAGCGGCCCCGCGGCGCAGCCGCTCACCGGGGGCCCTGGGCACGCTGCGAAAGGTGGCGGCTTCGGGGGCTCCGCAGGCCTTTGCCGCGGGAAGGGGCAGGGATGGGGGGGCATATGGCTGCTGCTGCTTATGATGATGACGATGGTGGTGATGATGATGATGATGATGGTGGTGGTGATGATGATGCTGATGACACTGATGCTGATGATGCTGATGTTGTTGGTGATGGTGAAGAAGATGATGATGCTGATTACCCTGATGATGATGGCGATAATGAAATGATGATCCTGATGAAGATGCTGATGCTTATGCTGACGCTGACGCTGACGCTGATGCTGACGATGATGCTGATTTAGGCGATGCTGATGACGATGATGCTGATGCCGATGCTGATGATGATTTTTTTTATGATGATGGCGATGGTAATGATGACGATGATGGCTTGGATCTGGCTGGGGGGTTGAGGAGGAGGAAGAGGAGGAGGAGGGGGAGGAGGAGGAAGAGGAGGAGGAGGAGGCGGAGGAGGAGGAGGAGGAAGAGGAGGGCGATGATGGCTTGGATCTGGCTGGGGGTTTGAGGTGGCCTGGCCTCGGTTCGGGCCAGCAGGAAGGGCGGGCAGGTTCGAGGTTCTGGGGTCGGGAAGGTTTTTTACCTGTTTCGGTCTCTGGGGGCCGTATTCGAGCCCAGGGACCGTCAGAAACGGATCCTGGGTGAAAATTTACACTACAATGTCATCCTCGGCTCGAATCCAATCGTGTGATGGGGCTCGCACCCCTTCCCTTGGTGGTCCCAGGAAACGGCAGGGCCGATTTTCACCGTTTCCGAAAATGTGTCTCTTGAACATGGGAACGGCAACAAAACGGCGACCAGGAACGGCAAACAAACGGCTCCCGAAAACGGCTCTGGGATTGGAACCGGAGCAGGAGCCAGGAACAAAAACGACGATGGAAACGGCAAAAACGGCGTCGGGAACCGGCAACGAAATCGGCACAACGGAACCGATGAAAGACGGCCTTGTCGCTTCCAGGGCCCGCTAAGCCCCTCCTCACCTCCGCCTGCGGGGTGCGTGCCGTCGAAGCTGCTGCCTCCCCTGGCTGCGTGCTCCCGAGGCTCTCGCGCCGCCGAGCGAGCCCTGCAGCGCACTGACAGCATTCCGCGCATAGCGACGCGCGGCCCGACGAAGGACATCCCTGCGGCGCCCACGTGTGGCGCTCGCGTGGATGCACCGACGCCGCGGCCCGGCCGCTGCCCATGGTCCCCGCTGCCGAGGCTGGCCGCGCCAGCGCACTCAGGATGGAAGTCTTCCGCCTCTGAGTGCCCCCCGCCTCGGAAGGGAGAGGAAGGGAGGAGGCTTGGGTCGGGCATGTCTTCCTACAGGCGGATCTGGGAGGTCAAAAGAAACAGCATCAACAAGTTCAGAGAAAGTCAACTGTCGGCGTGAGTTGGGCCTCCTCCTTCCCATCCTCCCCCCCCCCGTCGGGGGAGAAAGAGGGAGAGCTCCCTCCGCCTCCGCGGCCGCCCTGTCTTCCTCAGCCTCTCCTCCTTACATGCTCGGCAGTTCGCTATTCGGTGGCCCCCGTTGCGCCCGACCGCTGGTGCTGTGACTGTGCCTCGCCGCCGACGAAGAATGCATTGCGCTCGCGTGCCCATAAACTCACCACCCACCAAACGACCCCAACCCAACCCGAAGGCCTCAATTTTCCCTCCATTTCCAGTGGGGGCGGGCCGGGAAACATTGAACAAACACATGGAACCCGTACCCCCCCCAACCCGAAATTCGGGTCAAATTCGGGTTTTCGGGTTGGGTTGGGGTGGTCTGGTAGGTAGTCATAGACACCGACACCGACACCGCGCGCGCTGGCGTGACACGCGCCGAAGGGCAACTCTTTCCGGGACACCGATCGTAGACACGCCTGTGGCGCCCTGGTGTGGCGCCCACGTGCCCCTATCACACGAACGGCACCAGCGACATCACCGAGGAACACCTCGAGAAGGCCCTCGAGGACCTTCGGGATTTTGTTTTCACTCTTTTTTTGATTTTTCTTTTTTGTTTCCGATTTTCCTCAATTGAATCACTGCAGCCAGTGACACCGACGTCTTGCCGTACACCTCGCTGTGCCTGAAGCCGTGTGCACTCGTGCTCCAGCATTGGGCTGGGTCCACCCTAGCCAAAAGTAACGTTGCCTTGCTGTAATCGGTATCGCGTCAAGAGCCACGGGATGCCCACCCAATCGTCACAATATTGAGGACCCAGGTGACGTCGCCAGGCTGGTGCGAAAAGGCCCGGCAGTCCGAGGTGCGTGCGCTCAAAAAGAGAAGGCGGAAAGAGTGGGATGAGGGAGGGGCAATTTGAGTGAGGAGTGAGCTGCGCGCAGCGTCCAGGACGGGGACAGGGAGTAGGATAAGGAGGAGGGAGGAAGGGGAGGAGGGGGAAGGGCAGCAGGAGGGGGAGGGCTCCTTTCGTTCAACGTTTTTCTCTGTAGTCGGGCGTCGGCTGATCGTGGATTGGTCGAGTTCGCCGCAGGTCTGCAAGCCTTGTGGGATGGACGAACGAGGGCGATCAGGACGACAAGGGCAGGGGGCGGGGGTGCACTTTCCGGGGCAGATGGCGTCGCACTATACTTCGCAAGCGTCGTCGAGTTGGAAAGCCGCTTGCTGTGCCGTTGGGTCGAGTTCGGCTCTGCCTTTGCCAGTGTCGGAACCTGTGGCGTCTCGCCGGTGCCAGGAGTGTTTGGCCGGCAAACAAATTTTCACCGGCCCCACTGGCGGTCGCCGCGGGTTTTCGCCAACCCTGCAAGAACTGCGGCTGGCAAAAAATTGAGGGCACTGTTGGGCGCCGCTTGGGGGAGCCGACGAACATAATTATGTTTGCGAACGTTTTCCCGCTGGCACTCTGCGTGGGCGGACACGATGGCAGCGTCCATGCCTAGTTCCTCTTCGGTTGCCTGGGGGTCAGCCAGAGGCCAACCAAGGCATCAGGAATATTCAGGGCGTGTGGGGTGAAGGGCCCTCGGGAATTAGTTATCTTTTTTCGCAGTCCACTGCGTATGGAATTGCGCGACGGGTGGACCCTACGTTGGCAGCCCAGCACCAGCACACAGTTTGAAGGACCAAGGAGCTGCCCCTGGGCAAGGACACCTGAAGTCAACACCGCTTGTGGCAATCTCATAATTTATGCCATCCCGTCCGCTTTTTTACATGCTTCAGGCGATCCACGATCAGAATAGCGAGCGACTCTTCCTACATTATCCCCATGCACGTCCAAATTCTTCTTTCCATCATGACCCGCGCATTGGCGTGGGCATCTGAGGACCAACGCGCGTCTGGGTTTTTTTGTTTAGTGACCGTTCGACTGATGCCAGATGCGCGACTGCGCTACCCCCAAGGCGTAGCTGGTTCAGACCGGCCCGAATCAAACAAGTGCGCACGGGACGCACTGCCCTCTCGTGCGTACAAATGTGCACATCAGACACGCAGACCGACACGCAGGCAGAGAAAGCGCAGGCGATCATTATCGACAAGCACGGCGACGACATGACGGATAACGACGTTGAGGACAATGGCGAAATAGGGGGCGTTCGCTGCTGTTTGGCACCGGATGTCCTCGTGCGAAAAGTCGGCTCACATGTGCGAGCTCCTTCTAAACATGTACGAGGCCATCGTGAAAAGCGTCCGCATTGATATATGAATTTGCGCGGCCGTCGAACACGCGGACATTCTCACGAGCGCCCGCGACATTGGTACGGCAGCCGGCAGCCAGAAGGCCTTTTCCACCTGTTCGACACGAGAATTTTGCGGAGTTTGGTTGCGGGTGGGATCTTTGCAGTAACGCCCGCTTTCCAAATTTCGCTATTGTGCCGTTTGCTCCTTCGCTCGTTACGCTCCTCAGGCTGCCCCCCCTCCCCTTGTCCGCTGCATGGCGCGCACGTCTGCGCACGAGTAATCGAAGGCAGCACCGCGCACGTACCAGCTGCACAATATGCATAGTCTTTGTTCGGCTTGTGCTCAGTGTCGCGCATGTTTTCAGAGTTCCGCGGGGCGGCAAACCGCCCCGCGCGCGGTGTAAGCATGTGCGTGTAATCTCATTCGCGACGGCGTGTTCGTTGCTCCCATGTCGTCGTAGAAAATGCCACCACGTGGATCGCGGGATATGTCCCGATTCAGACGTTGAGCCGATTTGGCATCACACCCCTCTCTGTCCGATGCGCCAAGGGCCCCGACCAGTGCAGTCCCCTGGCCGCCTCAAAGCGATGACCGCGATGATGGTCTCTCGGAAAACGGAAAGACTTGCAATCTGACGCCTCGTTTTTTGATACGTGGTCCCTGGAAGCCCAGACCCATTCCCTCGGACTGGCTTTTGATCGCGAATCGCCTCTCGACGGCCCCAGAGCCTGGCGGACGCCTCTGGAGGCGGGAAACGGCGCAAAGCCTATGTCTTGATTTTATTGAATGCGTTGGTCGTGGGCGAACGGGTCCAAGTCCCGAGCGGGTTGTGCCCGAATGCGCTCTTGTCGTAGTTTGGCGCTGGCTTCGCCCGTGGATGCAGCGATCTTCAGAGGAAGTGCTCGCGCGGTGTGACGTGCGTCCTGTCTGGATAAGCATGTGCGTTGGATCTCTGTGTCCTTACCCCCCCCCATCTCGCAGCGCAGGCAGCCCGTGACGGCACTGGCCCTTGGCCCGCGCGGGCGCGGCTTGCGCCGCGCGGGCGGGCGAGCGCCGGGTGGCAGCCCCACTAGCGCGGCGCCCCGGCGCGCGCGCGGCGAGCCGCCCCGCCCCTGGCCCCCCGCAAGTGATGGACCGCTTTCCCGCCACCGCCACCGGCACCATCACGGGTTGGTCCAGGGAGACGGCAGGATGGCGAGGTCCTCCTCCTCCGCCTCCGCCTCCCTTGCCTCCTCCTCCTCCTCCGCCTCCTCCTCCGCCTCCGCCTCCGCCTCCTCCTCCTCCTCCTCCTCCTCCTCCTCTCCTTCGTTCTCCTCCTCCGCCGCCTTCTCCTCCTCCTCCTCCTCCTCCTCTGCCTCCTTGTCCTCTTACGGTAGTGGTGGTTGAAAATCGGCCCATCGGCAACAAGGGGCAGCGCTGGGGATGGCGCCGCTGCGCTCTTCGGCCGCGTGCTCGGAACGATCGCAGTTCAGCCAGGGAAGAGT